CACTTGAGTTTGGGTGGTGGTAAGGGATAGGCAATTGATCAGATATGCAAAGCCCTGGAAGCCAACCATTTTCAAAGGAATTGAGAAGGTTGGGCAAAGAGGGAATGAATTGAAAAAGATGAGAGCTAGAGATAAAAGACTAGCTTTGGGGCATTATCTTGAAGAAAATCTTAACATTTTAACAAATGACATAATGAGATTATCATTTTAAAAAGATCTTTAGGTATAATGGGAGGTTCAAACTGGCAGGGGCGCTTTTATATTCACTGTGTCTAGGATAGGGCTCAAAAAGTTCCTTTTTGCTTTGATTGTAGTGTGCATCCAGCATTTTGAGAACAGATAAATTAATAGGGTTCTTTAGTTTTGCTTATCCAAATTGTCATGGTGGAGTTAGGGCCAATGGGACATCTTTTTTTCTCATTTGGGCTGGATGCTGTTACCAATACACCAGGGATTTGGTCTAGGTCCTGGTGCTTGCTGCACAGAAAGCCAATCACTGAGACATTGCCAGGGAAGAATGCTTTAATTGGGTGCTACAGCCAAGGAGGTGGGAGATTAGTGTTAAACCCATCTCTCTGACTGACTGCTCTCACTGACTAAAATTAGAGGTCAATATAGAAGAGAAGAAATGCAACCATGTGTGGGCAAACAGGAATTAGGAAGGGTTGAGGAAGAGAAGTTGATCAACAGGCAGCATGTGGTCAGTTAAGCAATCATGATGGGTGAGGGGTCTGGATTCTCAGTGTCCGATTGCAGTGATCTGTTAAGTAAGTTTCAGCTTCTTGATACTATCTGGAGGCCTGATGGTTTGTTTCCCAAGAAAGGAACTGAGATTTCTCAAGTTTTAAGACTGGGAGGATTAATTTCTGTATTTATTCAAAGAAACCATAAAGAATCAGTTCTGCAGGATAATTGGCTGGTTTCAGCGTTATCCTTCCCTCAAGGAAGTAAACAGAGCATTAAACTGGGGTTTGATTAAAGTGTCCTTATTGATTTGAGAAATTCAAGTTGGTAAGTTGTCCCAAGTCAGTAATGTATTTTACTTTTTTTTTTTTGAAATCTTGTCTATTAGAAGATGGGAGCGGGTAAACGGAAGGAGAGAAACTTTCACGCAGTAGAGAAAGAATGCTTTTTAGGCTTCATTCAGTTTTCTTATCACAAAGCCCTCACCTACTTCTTGTTTCATATAGAGTGACTTTTCTGTTTACCCAGTCACTTAAACCAGAAACCTGGGAGCTATCCTACACTTTGTCCCTTTTATAGTTGGTTATTTAGTCCTTTAATAAAATAATCTTTAGGCTGGGTGCAGTGGCTCACACCTGTAATACCAGCACTTTGAGAGGCGGAGGCAGTTGGATCACTTGAGCCCAGGAGTTAGAGACCAGCCTACCAACTTAGCAAGACCCCGACTCTGTTAAAAAAAAAAAAAAAAAATGAGCTGGGTAGGGTGGCGCATACCTGTAGTCCTAGCTACTCAGGAGGTTGAGATGGGAGCATCTCCTTGAGCCTGGCAGTTTGAGGCTGTGTTACTGGTGGAGGGTGTCCAGGTTCTTGGCATCTTGAACAACGAATTAGACAAAATGCACAAACAAAGTAAGGAAAGAATGAAGTCAGAGATTTATTGAAAATGAAAGTACACTACACAGTGTGGGAGTAGCCCTAGCATAGGAGCTCAAGGGCATCATTACAGAATTTGTGGGAGTTTAAATACCCTCTAGAGGTTTCCAGTGGTTACTTGGTGTATACCCTATGTAAATGGAGAGGATGAATTAAAGTTACAAAGTCCTTTACTTGGTGTATGCTCTACGAAGAGGATATTTCCTGTCATAGCCAAAGTGTGAATTGGCCTTATGTTCCCTGCCTCCATACCCTGTCACAAGAAAACAGCGTCTGGAGGCAGGGAACATAAGGCCAATTCACACTTCAGCTATGACAGGAAACATTCTGTCCGTATTCACACTTCAGCTATGAAGTGTGACAAGAAAATAGGGTCTGGAGGCAGGGTACATTACTCTGTCACTGTACTCCAGCCTGAGTGACAGAATGAGACCTTGCATCCAAATAATGATAAAAATAATAATCTTTTATGTCTTCTAAACCCTTTCCCACCGTCATCTAAACCCTTGCCCTCATCAACACTGGTTAAGTTTAGATGCTCACCTTTTTTATGGAATATTATGTTGCTTCCTTGCATCCCATAGGTCTAGGGTTGTTTAGTTGCTTCCCCACCTTTAAAAAAATTTTTTTTTGAGACAGAGTCTTGCTCTGTTACCTAGGCTGGAGTACAGTCAAGCAATCATAGCTCACTGCAACCTTGAACTCCTGGGCTCCAGTGATCCTCCTGCCTCAGCCTCCCAAGTAGTTAGGACTACCGGTTTGCGCTGCCTTGTCCCACTGACATAAAATTTTTTTTGTGGTAGGGATGGGGCATCTCACTGTGTTGCACAGGCTGGTCTTGAATGCCTGGCCTCAAGTGATCCTCCCACGTCAGCCTCCCAAAGTGCTGTTACAGGTGCAAGCTGTCATTCTTGGCCCTGCCTCCCAGGTTAAAGCGATTCTCCTGCCTCAGCCTCCCGAGGAGTTAGGACTACAGGCTCGTGCTACCACACCCGGCAATTTTTTTTTTTCATTTTTAGTAGAAATGGGGTTTCACTATGTTGGCCAGGCTGGTCTCAGCCTTCTGACCTCATGACCCACCCGCCTCGGCCTCCCAAAGTGCTGGGATTACAGACATGCACCACTGCGCCTGGCCCAATATATGATCTTTTAAAAAAATCAAATTTGGCCTGATGCAGCCACTTAATGCCTGTTGTCCCAGCACTTTGAGAGGCCAAGGGAGGTGGATCACTTGAGCTCTGGAGTATAAAACCAGCCTGGGCAACATGGCAAAATCCTATCTTTACAAAAAATACAAAAATAAGGCATGATGGTACACACCTGTATTTGCAGCTACTCAGGAGGCTGAAGTGGGAGGCTTGAGAATGGGAGATTGGTCAAGGCTGCAGTGAGCCATGTTCATGTCACTGTACTCCAGCCTGGGTGACAAAGTGAGATCTTATCTCAAAAAAAAAACAAATCTGATCTTTTAAACTACAGTCACATTAGATAAATTGCCTTTATAAAAAAAAACTTTAATATTCTTTTATGTTTTTCTGACTTTGTTTTTGCTGCATAATACTTTTTCCTTTTTTACTGAGATTCTTTTCATTGTCTTAAGATCTTTTGATTTTTTTTAAAATGAGGAATCAGGAATCTTTTTTTTTTTTTTTTTTTTT